TAGATGTATGGAAATGGATCAATTTAAGATAAAAGCACAGTTAGCAAGATAAGGACAGTTGGCAAGAGGCCTGCCACGGCCATACAGTTTGCAAGCAATATAAGTGTCTGTGTTTATTTGGTTGGGTCTGAGCGGCTGTGGGACTGGTGGGTGACAGAGATTTGTCCTGACTGTGGGCAAGGCGAAAAAATCAAGCTACATCTGACCATCTGCAGGCCTCAGTTTCCCCTTCTACCTCCCAGGGTGCACCCCACAACTTGGAGCCCTGACTGGCATTTGGGGATTTGGATTTCTCTCCGGGACCCCGGGGCTCAGTCCTGCTTTCAAAGATTGATTTATTTTGTGTGTCTATGTGTTCTCTCCCAAGGTCTGCCCTCCCCAGAGCTCCGGGTGGAGCCCAGGTAGCGGAGGGCAGGCTGGTTGCTGTTCCCACGCCCCTGGGGAGCACACAGTGCAGACAGGAGTGTGTGTGTGGCTTGGCTTCCCAGGGAGAGGGCAGGAAGTGCTTCAGGTGGGGGCTGGTTGGGGAGGCTTTGGGTTTGACCTTGTGGTGAGGCTGTGACCTGCCTCATCACAGCTACCCTGGCCAGGAAAGGGGGATGGGTGGGAAGCCAAGGCCCCTCCTTTCCCAAGTTCAGGCTCCTGCAAGACTTTGGGACATAAACATTTTAGAGCCATTTAAACAAAAAGACCGGGAGAGAGAGAGAGAGAGAGAGAGAGAGAGGTGTGGTGCCATGCAGCAGACATAAAAATCACAAGAAATAAAAATAAACAAGGGTTGAGGGTGTGGCTCAGTGGGTAGAGTACTTTGCCTAGCATTCATGGCGTCCTGGTTTTGACCCCCAGCACCACATGAACCTGGCACGGTGGCACACACCTGTAAATTGAGCATTAGAGAGGGCGGGAGACAGAAGGACCAGCAGTTCAAGGTTATCCTCAGCTATGTAGCGAGTTCAAGGCCAGCCTGGGCTACATGAGACCTTGTCTTAAATCACACACACACACACACACACACACACACACACACACACACACACACACACACACTTCAAATCACCTCTCCTCCATAGACAATCGAGACCATCTCTCCACAGCTGAAGACTCTTAGCACTGGATCAAGCCGGTTAAAGCAAACCAGGTCCCACAGCCTGTACACACTCCATCCTCTCTAGCTACTTGGGCCTACCATATCAGCTCAGTTCCCGCCTCCTTTGCCTGGAAGAAGACTTGTCCCTCCCTCCTTCCCCAGGCATGCTGCCCATCCCCACCCCCCACCCTACGTCTCAGCATCGGGCCAGGCTGGCCTATCACGATCTGTACACCTCAGCCCCCCAAATGCTGGGGTGATAAGTGTGTGCCACCACGCTTCTTTCTCTCCCCAACCCCATTTATTATTTTGCATATGTGCACATGTGCGCATGTGCTGTGATGGGTATGTGGAGGTCAGAGGACAACTTCTGGGGGACGATTCCCTTCATCTACCATGTGGCTCCCAAGGACTGAACTCAGGTCATCAGGCTTGGCAGCAAGTACCTTTACCTGCTGAGCCATCTTGGGGGTCTCCTGTTGTGGAATATATTACTTTAACTGTAGAAAGGTGTGTTGTGCTGATATATTGTGTACCCTAATAAATTTGCCTGAAGATCAGAGAACAGAACAAGCCACTAGATTAAACATAGATGCCAGGCAGTGGTGGCACACACCTTTAATCCTAGCACTCGGGAGGCAGGGATCCGTCTGGACCTCTGTGAGTTCAAAGCCACCCTGGACTGCATGAGATTGACTCAGTCTAGGAGAGAAACAGAGCCAGGCCCTGGTAGCACACACCTTTAATCCCAGTACTTGGCAGTCACACGACTTTAATCCCAGCATTAGGAAAGCTGAGACAGGAAATGATATGAATGGGTGGAGAAAGGTATATAAGGCGTGAGGAGACAGGAACGAAAGTCTTTCAGCTGAGGAAAGCTTTTTAGGCTGAGGAGTCCTAGAGGTAAGAGGTGGCTTGTTCCTTTGTCTCTCTGATCTTCAGGCAAATTTATTACAAGCACACAATGTATCACCAGAGTGTGTTACATTTGTTTATGCTGCATTTGTTTAACTATGTAAAGATGTGTTGTGTTTGTTTCACCTTGCCTGCCTGAGGCACCTGATTGGTCTACTAAAGAGCTGAACGGCCAATAGTTGGGCAGGAGAGGGATAGGGGAGCTGGTGGGCAGAGAGAATAAACAGGAGGAACCTAGAGAGAGAAAGAGGAGAGAAGAGAATGAGGGAGAAAGAGAGGGACGTGCCTGGGACAAGAAGCCAGGCAGCTGCCAGACAGACAAGCAAGACAGACAGAAGGAAAAGTAAAAGGCCTGGATAAAGGCAAAAGGTAGATAAAGAGAAACAGGCTAATTTAAGTTTTAAGAGCCAGCCGGAAAGGAGCCTAAGCCAGGCCAAGCATTCAAAACTAATAAGTCTCCGCGTCATGATTTGGGAGCTGGTTGGTGGCCCGAAAGAAAAAGCCTGGTACAGTCCCTCTCTTTTTTTGAGATAGGGGCTCGCTATGTAACCCAAGATGGCCTCAAACTCCCAGCAACCCTTCTGCCTCAGCTCCTGGAGTGCTCAGATTAGAAGTGTGCGCCGCCAGGCCCGGCTCTGACTGGCTTCTTGACTCCCACCGTCTCCTCGGCCAAATGCAACTTTACTTTTCCAAGAACAGTTATACTCTCCTTAAAAATAAGGCCATAAAATAAGATGTCATCCCTGCCACCCTTCTCTTGCTGTGCTTCCTCCATAGCATCAAAACCACCTTCTAGCATGTTCTAGGATCCATTTCTTTTGCGTTGTGTTTGTCGCCATGAGGCCGTGAGCTCCTGGGTGTCGGGGCCTGGCAGCTTCACTGGCTTCTGGGTCCCAGGGTCCCCCACGGTGCCGGCTACACAATGGTTCTTTAATAAATGGGGAGTTGATTGACAGAGAGATGCAAGTCGAAAGTCGTGCCGGGAGCTGGGGGAAGATGTCCGGTTCACACTGTCACGGCAGGGAGAGTGTTTACAAGGGCGGAGAAGAAAGGAGCAGGGGAAATGAGCCAGTCACGGGCCACCACCGGGAGTCACTGAGGGCCTGCACGCAGGAAAAGGCCTGCTAAGACCCAGGTGTTCCAACAGCGCCTGCCTGGGGCCTGGCACCTGTTCAGTTGGCAGTGTTGCGCAGGCTGACAGGGATGGGGGAGCAGGGTGCAGCCTGGGAAACACAGGGGGAGCCACGTGCCAGACAATGCCCTGTGTGGCCAGTCCTGTCTCCACAAGTTGCAAAGACCAACGACCAGAGAGGGCCATGGGTTCGGCTAGGGTCACACAGCCAGAGAGGAAGTCGAAGCTGGGCCGCAACTCGGCGGCGTCTGTTGCTTCATCCTCTCTCTGGGGGTTCTGTTATTGTCCGGGGCCACAGCTTGGAACAACATGGGCAGGTGGAGGGAAACAGGACCCCCACATACCCCACTGACCAACTTAGGTTCCAAGTGACCCAAGCGAGTGTCATGGTCTTTTGGAGCCTCGGTTTTGCCCTCTGAGAAGTGGTCGCAAGAGGAGGAGGGGTTGCTGTGGATTTCTGTGATGGAGACAGGCGATGCCGGCAGAGCTGTGAGATGGGACTGGGGACACGGGGGGGGGGGGGCTGTGTAAAGAGAAACAGGCCTGCAGCTGTCCCCATGGGGGGCGGAAAGCCTGACTCGGCTCCTCCGCCCTACAGCTGTGTTCCAAAGCAATGGACACTGACCTCCCGTGAGACAGGGCGGATCTTCCCACCCTGTGTGTCCCCCCCAGGGCCCACCCTGCCAGCTGGCTCCTGGCCCCAGCACAGGGAGAGTGGAAAAAACCCTGGCCTGTTCCCACTGGCTGTGTGACTCTGGGCAGGTCGATCCCCTTCTCTGGGCCTCCCTCCTGGTCCCCCTCCAGGGATGACATGAGCATCGTATCATAGACCGAGGAGTCCTTGGCCCCCCTGCACTCTGATCACACCTGATAAGTGTAAGGATTTCTTACAGCCCTGGACAGGTGTGGGGTGGGACTCTCTGTGTCTGGTGGGGAAACTGAGGCTGAAGAGGTGAAGCTATCCTGAATGTCGTCGCCCAGCTGGAAGATGGCAAAGGAGGAGAAGGGAGGAGGGGGCTGAGAGGAAAAGGAGTCGATGGGGGCGGGGCACGGAGAGCTGTGGAGGGAGACACAGAGACCCCGGGACCTAAGCACCGGATCCCGGAATCCCAGAACGGATGAGGATGGACGCAGCCACTTGACAAGACACGGAGGCCAGCGAGGGCCTAACCCAACGTGGCCCTGTCCTCCCGAGCGGAAGCAGTCTGGACTCGGGGCCACCCAGAGAGAAGGCAACATGAGGACCCCAGGAGACAGGACACCCCGAAATCCAAGGGACGGGACCTGGAGGACAACCAGCCCCAACCCGCCCTCCATCTTGGGTTTCTAGAACTCAGAAGTTCAGAATTCGAATTTGGCAGCTCAAGCCCTTGGGTTGGTGCGTGAAGGCAAAGACTCAGAGTTAAGGGCTGTGAGGGGGCTTGGGGAGCGGGCTGGGGTCGGTGAGTGGGGGGGCTGCCTGGTCCACAGAGACACCCACGACTCCTTCCTAGTCTAGTTCACAACCCGACAGGACCAGGGGTTGGGGGCCCCTCCCTCCCCATCCCTTCCCCCCTGGGATCCACCTATAACTCATGATGAGCCAGGGGTCTATTTCTTGGGGCTCCTTGGAGAGGGAGGATTGGAGGGCCTGGACACCGACTTGTCAGGCGGGAGGAGGGCCATCTGCATGGCCGCAGAGCTGAGGCCTCAGGATAGAGGGGCATTTATCTAGTGATTAATACCCAGCCGACCACTTTCTTCTCTCCATGGCCCTCTCTAGCTCAAGCATACTCTATGGTTCCTGGCTGCCGGTGGCACCAACCTCAAGCTCTCTTGGGGCTCCCCAGGTTATCTCTACGAAGGAGGCTTTACCTCTGTGTGGTTCCTAGAAACTTCTAGATTTGTTCAGCCTCCACTCCTACGCACCTGCAATGCCCAGCCCGGGATGCCCTTCCCCCTGCTAGGTACAGAACACCTCCAACTCCTCTCTGGACACACCGTGTCCTCTGAGCGCCCTAGACACAGCCTCTTCTCACGCGCTCCTCCCCATGGTGGCCTGTCCGGACCGTTCACTCCCTCCAGACCACACGCCACCCTGTTCCACCACCTCCCCAGACCTCCCCACTCCTCCTAGGATTACGCCCACGGACACCCTTGATCTCCGTGTGTCTGTCTCCTGTGTGTGCATCGTGAGAACTCAGTCCTCCCCGACCAGCTCAGCTTTGTGAGCTCACGCCCATGGCACACTCGTGGAGAATGGACACTGGGCAGGAAAAACTGAGTGGTTTATATAGCATGCCCCAGGGGAGTGGCTCCCATCCCTGTCCTCACTGACCCACGAAATATGAGCAGAAATTGGGCCTGCGACATGGCTCAGAAGGTAAAGATGTCTGACGCCAAGCCTGATGACCTGAGTGCCATGCCAGGGGTCAGCACAGTAGGAGAGAACTGACTCCCACAAGTTGTCTTCTGATCTACACACACACCCGGTGACATACACACACACACACACACACACACACACACACAAAACAAACACACAAATATATAAATACATCTTTAAAATATATGTAAAAGTGACCTTGCCGGGCGGTGGTGGCGTACGCCTTTAATCCCAGCACTTGGGAGGCAGAGCCAGGTGGATCTCTGTGAGTTCGAGGCCAGCCTGGACTACCAAGTGAGT